AAGGTTGAACATTCATAACTAATAAGTCTCAGTGTCATGATTTGGGAGCTGCTTGGTGGCCCAAAAGAAAGCCTGCTACAACACATGTGTGATAATCATTAGATATGCATACACATCTGTATTAGTTTTCTATTTCTATGATAAAGTACCTTTACAAAAAAACAAAAAACAAAACCAAAAAACTAAGGAAGAAAGGATTTCTTTCAGCTTACCCTTCCACAAGGATGGAGTCCATCATGGTAGTAGGAGCAGGGAGCTGGCTGGTCACATTTCATCCACACAGAAATGCTCTACTTCCTACAGGCTCACAGAGCCTCCCTAAACAGCAGCAGCACCACCAGCTGGGGACCAGGTGTTCAAACACACATCCTGTGGGGAGCCTTTCTCATTCAATCCATCACAACTTCGTTCTGTTTGGTTTCACGAGGCAATTTCTCTGTGTAGCCCTGGCTGTCCTGTAATTTGCTCTGTAGACCATGTTGACCTTGAACTCACAGAGTCCCGACTGCCCCTGCCTCCCAAGTGCTGGGATTAAAAGCATGTGCCACCCCAACACCCCCAGTCTATCGCAACAATTATACAGGTTGTTTTTTGTTTTGTTTTTGTGTTTGCTGGAATTGGAAATCAAGACCTTAATCATTCTAGGCAAACCCCCTATTACTGAGCAATACCCCAACCCCTCACTTGGGGTGGGTATTCTAGGCAGGGGCTCTACTTCTATGCCACACCCCCAACCCCAGGTGTCTTATAAATCTGTGAGTAAATATGCTCTCTGATTTATAAACAGAAATGCATACTGAGACCACGCTTCCTGTCACCATCAACTTATCAGCTAGACAAAGGTCCCAGAGTCTGATTACGTGCCTTGTGTGGAAATGAATGCCTGGGTTGCAGGTAAGAGTCTAAAGCTAACAAGATTTTAGAGGCCAGTTTGACATCATGCTGACAATTAGTTTAGCCTTTGTCCATCCCTTGTGGGAGACTTACATCACAGTAATTCTTTTTTTTTTTTTTTTTTTTTTTTTTTTTTTTGTGACATGGTTTCTCTATGGAGCCCTGGCTGTCCTGGAACTCATCTGTAGACCAGGCTGGCCTGGAACTCAGAGATCTGCCTGCTTCCCAAGCGCTGGAATTAAAGGCATGTGCCACCATTACCCAGCCACAGTAAATATTTTCAAGTTTATTCACTGTAGCATTTTGTGGGAGAAGAGATGGAAAGAGACCAGGTAGGAATCAAAAGGAAGCAGGTACATCCAAGAATGATTTGTGGAATCAGTACTGAGGACAGCCCCAGGACAGAGCAGGAGGAGGAAACCAACACCCACAGTGCGTGCCTTGCCCTGGCTGCTTGGTTCCTTCTCCCTTGCTTGCTTGGTCTCGGTGTGCTAGCCTCCAACTCCTGATCTTTCTGCCTCAGGCTCCAGACTCAGACTGATATGTTAACGGATCAGCCAAAGGAAGATGGAAGTGTAGTAGATTCCAAGTCTTGAGTGTGGTTTCGCTCACAGCAGTAACCCCTGTCCTCCCATGGCAGGAGGGGTCAAGGAGCTCCACACAGCTTCATTTGGCCTGAAGATGTTGCTCGAGTGCTCATCTGTCGTGCCTGAAGCCCTCAGTTCCTTCTGCAGCACTATAGAAACCAGACAAGGTGTGATACACACCTATAACTGATCCCAGCATGTGCAAGTTGGGTACAGGAGGCTCTGGAATGTAAGACCTTTTAGCAAGTTCAAGGCTAACCTGGGCTGCAAGAGTCCTGTCTCCAAAACAAAAACAAAATGGTGGGGCTACAGGGCTGGTTCGGGGAACAGCATTGCTGCTCTTGCCAGGGAATGTGATTTAGTTCTCAACACCAGTGTCCAGTGGCTCACAGTCACCTGGACCTCCATCTTCAGGGGAGTTCCCTTTGATACCCTTTCCCAGCCTCAGAGGCACCTGTACAATGTGCACATAACCATAAATAAAAATAAAACAAACCTTTCAAAGAAGTTAAAAGACACACAGGGCTAGCGATAGGGCTCAGCGGGGAAAGGTGTTTGCTGCCAAACCTGACAACCTGAATTTGATCATCAGGACTCATAGTAGAAGGAGAGAACTGACTCTTGTCCTCTGACCTTTAAATGCATGCTGTGAAGTAACATGCCGCTCCCTTCCCCAGGCTGGCCCTGAACTTACTCAGCTGAGCATGACCTAGAACTCTGGGTCCTCTTGCCTTGCCTTCACCTCCCAGGAATCACCACCCCCAGTTTAAGTAGTGCTGATGATACTCAGTGCATGCTACATTAGCACTCTACGGACTGAGCCACATTTCCAGCCCAGAAGTCCCTTGATTATACTTACAATGTTCAAATATTTGAAGAAAATAAAAATTGTGAAATTCTTGGCTTGCTATTTTTAGTTGTGGAAGCTTGGCGGTGGACTGTTGACAGGAAAGTTAATTCTTTAAAAGTTAATTGATCATTAACAAAACCCAAACAGGCATGGCTCTTTCTTGTCTACACACAAAACTCTAGTCAGACGTGAAAAAGTTTCCCTACAATCTTTCCAACAAATGGTGCTGGGAAAACTGGCCCAGAATTTTCAGGAAAGGAATGAGGAGTCATTACTCCGCAGACATTGCTCCTGCTTGCCTTCAGTGGTAGCACATGTCTGTAATCTTAGCACTCTAAAGTGCTAGGGGCTGGGGCAGGAGGATTGCTGGGAGTTCAAGGCCAGCTTCTGCTATTTGATAAGACTCTGTCTCTAACAACAAAAGCAAAAAAGAAGAAAAGTTCTGAAGATAGAATGTACGCCATGTTTGGAAGGCTCACAACTATAACCTCAGCACTCAGGAGGCTGAGGTAGGAGGGTTGTGAGTTCCAGGCAGCCTGAACCACACATTGAGAACCTGCCTCAAAAACAAATAAAGAGTTAGATTAAACAACAATATGAATTTACTCACTACTTCTAACTGTACGCTTAGGGTTAACATGGTAAATTTTATGCTTAAGTGTTTGGGTTTTTTTGGGGGTTTTGTTGTTGTTGTTTTGGCTTTTCTTTCTTTCTTTTCTTTTTTTTTTTTTTTGGTTTTTCGAGACAGGGTTTCTCTGTGTAGCTTCATGCCTTTCCTGGATCTTGCTCTGTAGACCAGGCTGGCCTCAAACTCACAAAGATCCACCTGCCTCTGCCTCCCGAGTGCTAAGATTAAAGGCAAGCACCACCACCCAGTCTTTCTCTCTCTCTCTCTCTCTCTCTCTCTCTCTCTCTCTCTCTCTCTCTCTCTCTCTTTCTCTCTCTCCCTCCCTCCCTCTCTCTCCCTTCCTTCCTTCCTTCCTTCCTTTCTCTGTTTTTTTATACAGATCTCACGATGTAGCCCTGGCTGACCTGGAATTTCACCATGTAGACCAGATTGGTCTCAAACTCACAGAGATACAACTGTCTCTACCTCTTGAGTGCTGGGATTAAAGTCATGCATCACCACGCCCAGGTAGACGATGTGTATTTTGCCAGGATAGAATTTAATAGTTCTATGACATAAAGAACTGGGTAGAGCGAGCGAGGGTAAGGCTGTCTCTTGCTCCTTAGGCCACCAGCCATTATGTGCCTCATGGCTGGATGATCACTACTGTATTTTATGACATTGTTGTATGAGCTTAGTCAATACTGCTATAGAGCTAAGACTGATGGTCCAAGTCTGTTCTCTCACTCAAGAGTCTGAGGCAGGAGGTTCACACGCGCAAGGCTAGCTAGCATGGGCAGCTTAGTGAGATTCCATCTCAAAATACAAACTTAATGGAAAGCCTAGGTGTGACAGAACAGTAGAGCTCCTGCCTAGAATTCCCCAGTGAGGGGCTGAGGGTGTGGTACTATAATTGAGTCCTTGCCTAGCAGGAACAAGGCCTATGATTCCATCTTCAGTACTGGAAACAAAAAATGGATATGATCCTTAAAAAAGAGACCTAACCTCAGCTACTGTGGATGTGACTTTATCTAGAAAGAGGAGTTGGGTATGATTGTGCCCATTATTAATCCCAGCACTAGGGAAGCAGAGGCAGGTAGATCAGTGTGATTTTGAAGTCAGAACTGTCTACATTGTGAGTTACAGAGTAGCCAGGGCTACACAGTAAGATCCTGACTCAAAAAAAAAAGAAAGAAAAAGGGGAAAAAAAAGCCATCATAGGCCCTAAGATTATGAGGAGGAGGAGTTTTTAAGCACTTTGGGGCCACTGAGCTGGCTTGGCTGGTCAAGGCACTTGGTGCCAAGCCTGATGCTGAGTGAGAACCACCAGAACCTCCATGGCGGGAGACGAGAACTGACTCGGTTTTTGTTTGTTTTTGTTTGGGGACAGAGTTTGTCTGTGTAGCCTGACCTTCTCAGAATTCGATCTGTAGCCCAGGCTGACCTCGAACACAGATCTATCTGCCTGCCTCTGCCTCCCAAGTGCTGGGATTAAAGTGTACCACCACCGCCCGGCAGCTGGTGAGGACTCTTGAAAGTTGTCCTCTGGCCGGGCGGTGGTGGCTCACGCCTTTAATCCCAGCACTCGGGAGGCAGAGCCAGGCAGATCTCTGTGAGTTCGAGGCCAGCCTGGTCTATAAAGTGAGTTCCAGGAAAGGCGCAAAGCTACACAGAGAAACTCTGTCTCGAAAAACCAAAAAAAAAAAAAAAAAGAAAGTTGTCTTCTGACCTATAACACACACACGCTGTGGCACATCCTCCCCCCCCACAAATGACAATAGTGTAAAAACATAGAGTATTATCAAAATCTACCTCTCTCATGAGACTGTGGGGTGACCAGGAATGCTTTATCAGAGTGGAAGATGGTGCCTAATGTGGGGTGGTACCTCAAGGGTCTCACAGTCAAAGAAACTCATTTCAGTTCTTCTTAAACACACAGTTTTCTTTCAGACTCTTTGTTTATTATCCCAAGTAAGAAAAAATTTAAAATAAATAAATAAGATAAATACCCATAATAAATAAGAAGAAACCCAAAATGATACATCCCCTGAATCAGGAAGATTCAGGAAGCATAGCTGGGGCTTCGGCCCTGCAAAGGCCCCACCATGCTCAGTGGATCAGAGGAGCCCACATCTGGGGGCTCTGGCGCCAGGAACCCTGGAAGTTCCTGGGGCTGGTGAAACAGGCCTGGTACAGGCAGGAAGCGCACAGGTCCCCAGGATGCTGGGTCCTGGTTTGAAGAGTCTCTCTGGGGCAGGCGCAGGGGCAGGCCATGGGCTTCGGACTGGTACACATTGTATCCATCCTCAAGGAGCAGCTCCCTGAAGCTGCAGGCCTCCGGATCAAAGAGAGGCTGGAGGACAAAGGAAAGAGTCAATGACCCACAGTACATTTCCATTTGCCAAGCCCTGACCCAAGCAAGGGTCCAGCCCCAGACTCCTCTCTCAGACCCGGGGTCCAGACCTGGGCCAACTCCCCTCACACCTGGGGTTCCGTCCCCAGCCCTCTCTATCTGCAGACTAGCAGGCTCAGGCCCAGGCTCCTCCCTCAATTTTTCTGTACCTAGGCTGGCAGTCTGCCCACCACCTTCCATCATATCACTTATTGGTAATGGGTACTAGACAGCCCTACTGTCAGCAGGAGCAGAACCTGTGAGAGTTCACGTGGTCACGTACAGGGTTACAGTCCTGACACCTGGCCTCTCCGAGGGCCAGTCTGCCCTTCATTTTACACCAGGACTCGGTGACCTACCTGGGCCTAGTTTTCTCCCTTTGCAAACACAGACAACAGGACCATGGCCAAGGGAGAACACAGCTCTGAGAGAGGACCACAGAATGGGACTCACCGATCCATACAGGGTTCCATCGGGCTGTTGGCAAAGAAACCTAGAAGCCTTGATTCCCAATATTTGAATCACCCCTGGCTTCAAGGCTTTGAGCTCCAGGAGACCTGTGGGCAAAACAAAGACATTCAGGGTCCGTCTACACCTGGGAGGACCCAGGACCCCAGTCCTCTCACCAGACTCACTTTCTGGGCTGCGGTGTGTGGCGCCGACCACTGTGCCATCCTCCCTGATCTCCAGGTGGGCTTCAGTGTCCTGGTCGTCATCTGTGTAGAGGTGCCTCTGCCGGACTTGACCCCCAAACTGGAGGAGGGGGCTGGAGTCGGGGATGGGGTGTGCCTGGCAGACCCCCAGGAGGAAGACAGCCAGCAGAGGGACCCGCAGTCCCAGGACCCCAACTCGAGATTTCATCCAGTCCATCAATGGTGCACTTCTCTACCAAGAGCCCCCGGCAAGCAAGCGTCTGTGAGCGGTTGTCTGGCCCCAGCAAAGCAGATGCAGGTTCAGACCGGGGCTCAGGCAAAGTGAAAGTCTATGTCTCCCGTGGAATCCCCAGCTGACAAGATACTAAGGCTGTGTGGTGAATGCAGAAGTCCCAGAATTTATACCCAGACAGGCCCGCCCACGTGCCCTCCCCACTCCTGACGCGTGATATTTGACACACTTGGCAGAAACCTGAATTCCACCGTGGCCAGGGCAGCCTGGACGGATGATGCAATGGAGGGGGGGTGGTCTTTCCAACAGGGGTCTGAAGGAAAAGGACTAGGCATGGACCCCTGAGTCTCAAGGAAGAGTGCTAGGGTCTGACTCCTGGGTCTGAGGGAGGAGGCTGGGGTCTGGCTCCTGGGTCTGAAGGAGAAGGCTGGGGTCTGGTTCCTGGGTCTGAGGGAAGAGGCTGGGGTCTGTGTTCCTGGGTCTGAGGGAGGAGGCTGGGGTCTGGTTCCTGGGTCTCAGGGAGGAGGCTGGGGTCTGTATTCCTGGGTCTCGGGGAGGAGGGAGGAGGCTGGGGTCTGTGTTCCTGGGTCTGAGGGAGGAGGCTGGAATCTGGCTCCTGGGACTGAAGGAAGAGGCTGGGGTCTGGCTCCTGGGTCTGAGGGAAGAGACTGGGGTCATCTGGCTCCTGGGTCTGAGGGAAGAGGCTGGGGTCTGTGTTCCTGGGTCTCAGGGAGGAGGCTGGGGTCATCTGGCTCCTGGGTACAAAGAAGGAGCCCTGGGCCTCAGACATTCTGTGTAAGAACTGAATTGTGTAGTCCAACCTATTTGAATGTCAAGGTTCAAGGGGTGTTGGGGGGTCTGAGTCTTTCTTTAATCACCGGGAAACCAGCTGTGTGACAGAGGAGTCTACAGGTGGAAGTCTCCCAGCTGGCCCCAGGCCACTCACCCTCAGCAGCCCCTGCTCAGCACTCAGATGCTGTGCTCAACTGCCGGCCTCCCTGATGCAATCATAAAGCTTCTTTCACCAGAGACGGTCCAGCACTGGTGCTCCCCAGATGCCCTGGGGGATGGGTGGGGTCAGTCTCTTTCCCACCGAGCCAGGATCTGTGAGGGCGAAGAGCTGGATGATTTCTTGCAGCCAAAGGCATGCTGGGGCAAATCCCTGGGTTTGAAGGAAGAAGCCTGAGCATGGGCCCTTGGGACTGAGGGAGTGTCTAAGGGAGAAAGGAGGCTGGGCAATGGACCTTCAGGTCTGAGGCCGGCCTGAGCTTCGATAGCCTGGAGAAATGATCTAATCTTGGACCAGCCAAGTGGAATTCCTGAGTCTTTGTAAGGTGTCAATGCTCAGGTAAGGCGAGGCTGTAGGGCCGACTCTGCATAATTAAAGGCTCAGGACACCAGGAGAGCTAAGGCCTTTGTCCCCAGCCACGCCACCTGCTTGCCCAGAAAGTTAGACAACCCAGTCCACCTCTTCCTAGTCAGAAAAAGTTACATGCTCCATTTGCCAGTCTAGAAAGTAACAGCTTGGACTCCAGGCTTTAGGATCGCTCCGAAGAGGGGATTTGGGGCGAAGACTGGCTGATGTGTACCCGACTACAGGCAGAGAGGCTGGTGCTTGGGTTGTGGCAGCTGGCAAACAGGTTCTCCATCCTCCTGGGAGGGTGCAGCTGGAGTGGTTGGAGGAGGTGGCGGGTGTCCAGACCTTGCTCCACTGGGACGTGCCTACTCGCAGAGTACCCAGGTAAGGGGAGCAGACGCTAAGTCTCGGCACCGGAGAAGGAAAGGCGCGTGGGGCCGGAGTTCCCGGGTTCAGCCTTGCAGCCGGGCGCTACTCCCCGGGTCCATGCCGAGGGGGTGGCAACTTCTGGGGACCAATTGGGCTGCCCTTCGTGGCGTCAGGGATCGGAGAGGAAGGGGCAAGGGGCGCGGCGCCCATGCACCTGGGCGGAGGACAGGGCGTTGTGCCTCCCGCACCTGAGCGATCGATCGGTGAGGCGCCCAGGAGAACGCGGCTCCGCCTCCTGCTACCTGCCGGGCCGGAGGGCGGAGGCTGCGCACCTTCCAACCGTGCCTTTCTCTCTCTCTTTCTCTGTCTCCCAACGGGTCTCCAAGCCCTCAGCCTTCTCAGTCAGTTGCAGGAAGGAAGCCTAGAGGGGAGGGCTACGGAGCCGGGGCTCCTGACCTCCAAGCGCGGCTGATGAAGGCTCTATTTTGGGACTGGAAGCTCAGACTAAAAGAATCCGTTTGTACCACCAGCAAGGAGCTCAGGTTAGTCCGCACTGGGCATGCCAGAGCCCTGGGGATGAGGAGGGTACCTAGGCCACTCTAACCCTATCCCAGTCTTCCTCAAAACCTGGATTCCAATCCCTACCTTCCGCTAAGAATCTCTTCCTCCTGCCACAACAAGGCTCTTGACTCAGGAAACTAAACCAGTTCATAGTTCCAGGGTTCAAAGGCTCCTACTGGGCTGCTTGCAGTAGGCTTTTCGGCTGCCTTGGATTCACCCGAGCTTTTGTGTTTACCAAACCTGACAGACTTGGGTTGAATCGTTTCTCTAGTATGTAACTAACTGGTCCTTATGTGGGATAAATTTATCTATTCCTATCTCACAGGGAAAGTTATACGACATCCAGGGGCTTGCTTTCGCAATTTTAAAATCCTCCTCCTTACCTGGGCTCCCCCTGGCCTGTGGAGGTCGAATGTGCCCCTTCCACATAGGAGCACCCGAGAAAGTAGTTGAGATGTGATGTTCCCAGCAGGCAACATTCACATGTCTCCTGACCCCATCCCTAGAGATGTAAAGCTTTACCACCCTGGATTAAATGGCTCTCAACTTCTGACCCGGGAGTTGCTCACTTTAGCTCCCAGAGCCAGAGGAGTCCCAGACTCTGCAGCTCCCACTGTGTGCCTTCTAATCCACCTTTCCTTCTTACAGCCATGTGGACCCCCAGCCGGAGGCAGCTCTGCCTGGCCTTCTTGCTGGTCTGTGTGCTCTCCACCGGCTCCTTCTTTTTCCACCTGCATGGAGGAAACTTCTTTCGAAATGAGCTAACTCTCTCTCTCCTGTGTCCAGACTACCAGCTGCTGAAGTCCCAGGTGGCCATGGTATGCCTGCCCCACCCATTGCAGACAGTCAATGCCTCCCCTTCCTGTCCCGGACAGTTCTCCTCTCTCTCTGGGACTTGGACCATCTCCCCAGGAGGCAGGTTCGGTAACCAGATGGGGCAGTATGCCACACTCCTGGCCCTGGCACAGCTCAATGGCCGCCAAGCTTTCATCCATCCCGAGATGCATGCCACTCTGGCCCCTGTGTTCCGCATCTCCCTGCCCGTGCTGGACCCTGAGGTGGACAGCCTCACGCCTTGGCAGCATTTAGTCTTACATGACTGGATGTCAGAGGAGTACTCCCACCTGGAGGACCCCTTTCTCAAGCTGTCCGGTTTCCCTTGCTCTTGGACCTTTTTCCACCACCTCCGGGAACAGATCCGCAGGGAGTTCACCCTGCATGACCACCTTCGGGAAGGTGCCCAGCACCTGTTGAGTGGGCTCCGTCTAGGCCCCTCGGGCATCCGCCCTCACACCTTTGTGGGTGTCCATGTGCGTCGTGGGGACTATCTGGAAGTGATGCCCAATCGTTGGAAAGGTGTGGTGGGTGATCAAGCTTACCTCCAGAAAGCCATGGACTGGTTCCGGGCCCGACACAAAGACCCCATCTTTGTGGTCACCAGTAACGGCATGAAATGGTGTTTGGAGAATATTGATGCGTCCCGCGGGGACGTAGTCTTCGCTGGCAATGGACAAGAGAGTACGCCGGGGAAAGATTTTGCACTGCTTACACAATGCAACCACACCATCATGACGATTGGTACCTTTGGCTTCTGGGCCGCCTACTTAGCTGGTGGAGACACTGTCTACCTTGCCAACTTCACCCTGCCAGACTCGGAATTTCTGAAGATCTTCAGGCCTAAGGCTGCCTTCCTTCCCGAGTGGGTGGGCATTAACGCAGACCTGTCCCCACTTCAGGCTCAGGTTGACCCTTGGGAGCTAGACAGTCTTTTAAGATTGGTTTGAACCATCTAGAGTCATCCATTTGTATCTCTAGAGACCCGTGGCTTTTGGGATGTGTCTGTGGTAGTGCGGGAGCTGGTGAGCGCTCATTTCCAGACCTTCTACAACAGAACATCGTCGTCTGATGGCCAGAGAAGTCCAAGTTAGCCCTGTGAGGCACAGTCCTCTCCTCACCCACCCAGCTCACCCTCGTAGAACTTCTGGATTATGGGAGAGAAGAAACTCCTGACTCACGAGCTGGCCTCCTGGGTTCCTGGAGCCATCCTAAGGGGCTTGGTGGCTGTTTGTGAGAGCCTGGTCCTGCGCGTGCGTGCGTGCGTGCGTGCGTGCGTGCGAGCGTGCGTGCGTGCGAGCGTCGTGCGCAGCACACTGCACTGCAGGGTGGGTCCCGCCAGCACTGTAGAAAGTGGAAAGTGTAATGAAGGTGCATGCAAACACCGTGCCACTCCCCTGCTGCAAACACGGAGAGATGAGAGAGATCCTTTAAAGAGCTAGCGCCAGGTCAGAAAGATGAGGACCTGACCAGGCCTGAGTTCTGCCCAACTCCTCGGCCCCAGAGAAACCTCACAGACTTATTTAGGGTGGGGAGAGTGAATGGGCTAAACTAATGGGAGAGAGGAGAGGAAGGGACTGCTGAGGGGCTGCACTTGCCGGAGCAGGGTCTCCTAAAAATCCAGGGACTTTTTTAAAAAGAGCGGAAAATTTAAAGAAATAGATTAGCCCTGAATTTAGGATCAAGGAGATTTCTTCTCTGACGCTACAGGTCCCCTGGGGTCTTTTTTCTGGAAGTGACCAGGCTTATAGAAAACAAGGGTGTTTGATATCCTCCCTATGCTAATTCCCTCCCGGGTTCCACCCTCCTAAATGCTTAAGGGAAGTTCCTTGTCTGTGTATCCTGCATAATGGGCTTTAACAGCTTAGATGCAAGATTGTAAAACATTGTAGCAAACTTCTGCCCTCCGGGTTCTCCCATTGTGCTGTAAGCCTGTATTTAAGACCTCCTCCCTCCTTCAATAAATGGCATTCGGCATTAAATAAATAAATAAATAAAAATAAAAAAAAACAAGGGTGTGCCCCTGGGCTCACAAAGCCACTAAATCCGGCTTTGAGAAGGCCCAGGGTGAAGGGTCTGAAGGTGTTCCAGACCCCTGAAGCCAGCTTAAGGCCCAGCAGGAGCACAGGCTCGGAGCAAGAAGGATGGATGTTTGACTGAGCTGTCCGGTATCCTTGATGCTTTTTCAAGAGTGAAGTTTCCTCAGATAGTGTTTAATCTAATCTCAGGGAGTTTCTGGGTACCTTTCCCCAACTCGGCCTGTACAGGCTAGAGAGAGGTCGCTGTGAATTAAAGAGCCACATCAGCAATCCATGTATCTGAAGTTTTTGGTGTACTGGATGCGTGAATGTGTAACACAATGTGTGAGTGTGTGTGTGTGTGTGTGTGTGTGTGTGTACTAGGGCACATTCATGACTCATGGATACTGTACGGACTCAGATCTGGCAACCTCTGCTGCTAAGTTTGTGGTCCATTTTCCCTTAGTACCTTTCTCTGGAAACTTCGGTATTGGCCACCACACCTGTCTTGTGCATTTGTCTTGAGACGGTCTCTGTAGCCCAGGCTGGTCTAGAACGTAGTATATAGACCAGGCTGGCCGGGAATTCGTGGCAATCTTCCTGCTTCAGCCTCCCAAGTGCTAGGACTACACGTGTGGGTCACCAAGCTTGGACCCAGATCTCCCCTTAACAGGGTTTGAGGTGAGACGACAAGAGTATGTCTATTGAACTACGTTTCCCATGCTGTGGGACTGGTCATAGAGAAAGAGAGAAGCTCCCATGCCTTCTGGGAGTTGTAGTCCCAGTTTAGAAGACTAGCCACTTCCCACGACTGATTATCTGGATGCCAAGGTTTCTAGCCAACCAGAGGGCGTCCTGCCGTAAACTTGGGGGCAATGAAGACCAGAAAGGAGGCCAGAACAGGTCAGCGGCTTCCATTCCGTAGGTGCTGGGAAAGTTCTACGGAAGGGCTGCCACCCTGTGACGTCATGGAGGGACGGGCGGGGCCTGCTTTGTTGCAGTCCAATCAAACTTAGAGTTGGACTTCTGGGTGGGGCCAAAGAGAGTTCTAAGAAATATTTCTAAGGGAATTGGGGTCCCCCACGTGGGATGTGGCCCGAGTGTTTTGTGAAGAGGGGACGACCGGTAACTCTCGGAGCCAGTAGAAAAAACCCTAAATTCTTCTCCCCAGTCTTCCAAGAAAAACCTTAATCTTAGTCTTGATAAAGTATCAGGCGAAGCATTAGCGCTTGAGGGCACAAAGTTGAAGAGCCGCTGTTAAAGAGTGTTATTTAAGGTACTGGGGGCTTGAGAAGAGTGTGTCCTGAAAGTTAGGGGTCTCAGTCTTGAGGGAGAGTCGACAGGTACCCCAGAAACTGGGCGATGGCTTTGGAGGCATGCTGAAGTTTTTGTAGGACCTTCAAGTTCAAGGATTTAGGATATTTTTTTATTCTGAAGACCTGTTTAGTTTGTTAGTTTCCAGGTTGGTTATTTACTAGACAAATTATTTACTTATATTTAATTAATTAATTTGGAGACAATCTCAAGTAGGCCACGATGGTCTTGACTTCCTCCTGCCTCAGCTTCCTAAGTGTCGACGCCGGCTTTTGATGGTTTATCTGGTTTTGACTGCTGAATGTCTAGTCTATGGTGTCACGGGGTTTTCAGGGCTTGAGAGTTGAATGTTGATCCAGTACAGGCTCAGAGTTATATGAGTGTGGGGGAGTTTTGGAGTTAGCTCATGGGTTTGAAGTTTGAATGGGGCAAGGTTGGGGATCTGGTTTAATAGTTTGCAGGAATGCAATGAAGACCCTAAGTTTTGAGGTTTCCTGGGCTGGGGGACGGTCTGAGTTCACACTTTGGGTCTCTGATTATGTCTCCTTTTTACTTGGGAATTTCCCAAAGCCCCTCATATCGAGATTTGGAATCCTCTAAGACTGTTTCTGGCTTCTGTTTAGCGTCCACCCCGCCCTCGTTTTGGGGTGAGAAGATCCTCTAGCGGTGCTGGCGAGCTGGGCGCTCTGGCCTCCATGGGGCCGCGTTTTACACTCTTGCTGGCGGCTCTGGCCGACTGCCTGTGTCCGGCGAGGCCCTGCATCATATGTGACCCGTTTGTAGTGGCTGCGCTAAAGACTTTGGAGCAGAGTTACCTGCCTGGCCACCTGGCACCCGAGCATCATGAAAACGTAATGAAGAGGGTGGAGCAGGCAGTGAAGGACTTCAAGGATCTGCCTTTGAATCAGGATACCTATGTGGGGGCCGTGGGTAAGGAGCGCAGGCCAAGATGCCGACCACGGGATCCTGGGAGAGGAAGGGCTGGGGCCAGAAGTCCCCACACAGGCTTTCCTGAGTTTAAGAATGGAAAAGTCGCTGGGCGTAGTGGTCCACTTCTCTACCCCAGCACTTGGGAGGCAGAGGCAGGTGGACCTCTGTGAGTTCAAGGCCAGCCTGGTCTATGTAGTAGTTCCAGGACAGCCAGAGCTACCTAGTGGGACCTTGTCTCAAAAAAGAAAGAAAGAAGAAAAAGAAAAAGTGAAAAAGTCTTGGGATACAGAATCATAGAGTCCCTCCCCATAGCTTACAATATTGGTTCTACCAAGGTTTTGTGATTAAAAACAATTCCCAGACGGCAACAAGCTGTTACCTCTTTAACCAGGCCTCTCTTTGCCCAATGGCCTCATGGGAATTATAGTTTCTATGTAGTGGCAAGCCAATGAGACAGAAAAGCTGGACTCTGGTGTTCTATATCTGCCTTCCACACACAGATGAGGACACACTGGAACAGGCATCCTGGAGTTTTCTGAAGGATCTGAAACGTATCACAGATAGTGATGTAAAAGGTAAACGTACCAGAGGATGAGGCCAGAACGTCTGAGAAATTGAGGCCGATGATGATCAAAGCTTCAAGCCTTTGCTTGAGTGCCCTTCTGACTCTGCCACGTCTTAGTCATGTGGCCTTGAATCTGTGGCTGGGCCACTTCCTGAGCCCTAAATGTGGAAGATTACAATCATCTCCCTTTCTCAGTAGCTTTGAGGATTAGGATAATTAACAGCCGGGCGGGGGTGGCCTTTGATCCCAGCACCGGGGAGGCAGAGCTAGGCGGATCTCTGTGAGTACGAGGCCAGCCTGGTCTACAGAGCGAGATCCAGGACAGGCACCAAAACTACACAGAGAAACCCTGTCTCAAAAAACCAAAAAAAAAAAAAAAAAAAAAAAATGAGGGGTTGGGGATTTAGCTCAGTGGTAGAGTGCTTGCCTAGCAACCTCAAGGCCCTGGGTTTGGTCCTCAGCTCCAAAAAAAAGAGAAAAAAGACAATTAACAGGTGTGTATTTCATAACTCGGTGGCCCAGCCCTGTGTTTAGTGCTTGTCATATAGCTCTTCCCTGGAGGGCTACAGTGTGGAATGCCAGCGAAGACAGGTGGGGCATCCCTGTACTCAAAGCTACTCAGGGGGCTGAAGCAGGAGGATTGCTTAAGCCCATGATTCCAGAGCAGCTTGGGCAACATAGTGACATCCTCTCAAGCCAATAAGAAAGAGAGGGAGCTGTTGGTGGTGGTGGTGGTGGTGGCGGCGGCGGCGGCGGCGGCGGCGGCGGCGGCGGCGGCGGCGCACGCCTTTAATCCCAGCACTGGGGAGGCAGAGCCAGGCGGATCCTTGAGTTTGAGGCCAGCCTGGTCTGCACAGCAAGTTCTAGGACAGCCAGGACTACACATGAGATTCAGAGAGGAGAGATAAATGAGAGGTGGGGTATGCTGGGGCGTGCTTGAAGGTAGTGACGGACAGATCAGGTGTTCAAGGTCACCCTCAGCTACACAGTGAGTCAAGCCACTTGTAGTATCTGTAGCATATGGATTGTTTTACTGCACCTCACCTGAGTCGGGGAGCACCTTTTCTGGCTCTGCTTCCTCCTAGGAGAGCTCTTTGTAAAGGAATTATTCTGGATGCTCCGTCTGCAAAAGGACATTTTTGCCACCCTTGCTATGCGTTTCCAAAAAGAAGGTGAGGGAGATGGGAGTCCAGAACCCCAGCCATCGGCTTCCTTAACCCTCTCCTCCACCCATGCCCTCAAGAACACCTCCCCCAGGCCCTTCCCTTTTGTGCCTAAAAGCTCCTAAACCTCAGACCTCTGCTCAGCACCCACTCCCATTAATTTAGAAAGAAATATGATTCTCCAGAGCTTGGTAGCAAAGCCTGTAATCCCAGCGCTTGGGAGGCTGAGGCAGGTGGATTGCCAAATTTGAGGCAACCTTGGTCTACTGGCTGAGATGCTGAAAGATAAAAAGAGCCTGTGATCATGGGACTTGGTGGGTGGAGGCAAGAGATAAAATGTCCAAGGTCATCCATCCTCATTGACTGAAAGTTTGAGACCGACCTGGGCTACACAAGACTCCTTTCTGAAAACAGAAACCAACCTGCTTTTCTTTCTCTTTCCTCCCTCCCTCCCCCTCCGGAGGCAGTTTATTGTCCCAACCAATGTGGTGAGTCCAGTGTGCATCATCTGTTCCTCTTGCCCCATGAGCCTCCCCCATGGGTGGTTTTTACTCTCCTTCATGTGAGCTACCCCTGCTCTCCAGCTTGGATTTCTTAGGCTGTGGGTGGTGTTCCCAGTTGTGCTCCTTCCTTAGCTTCGGTGGGGGCACTAACACTTGATGTGAACAGCTGCCCCAGCCCTTGACCTTGCCAAATTCTCCTTTTAGCCCCACCTCTTAGTGGGAGAATACAACTTTAACCTTCGCCCTTCAGGCACGATGTTGCAGACTCTGATCTGGTGTAATAGGTGTGAGAAGCAGGTCCACTCCTGTCGCAAATCCATGGATTGTGGGGGTAAGCACATGACCCAGCTCAATGGCCTAGTGTGAGAGGGGTGGGGACTTAGGAGAGAGGCAGCCGCCTCAGGGTTCCCCCAGAAGTAGCTGCAGCCCCTCCTTTTGCACAGAGCGCCGGATAGAGGTGCCGCGATTGGAAGACATGGTCCTGGACTGCCAGCTCGGTTGGCATCATGCTTCTGAGGGACTTACGGATTACAGTTTTTACAGGGTGGGGACATCCAACTCCTGTGACCCTTGACCCTAAGTCTGTTAGACTTGTGTGAGCCCCCGGGTCCCCTGCCCTGAAACCGACCCTCATGGCCAGTTAGAGGTGTCCTCTACTGATCCCCAGAGAGATCCCACGCCCTGACCAGGGACTTTCCCATCCTAGCCAGGACACCACGGAAGGTAGGGGAGTCTATGATGTGTCCTGTCATGATCAGGGAGATCAGTAGTCCTGATTCCTTCCTTCCCTGCACCGAGACCCTGTGACCTTCTCACCCCTCTACTCCCCCAGTCCCCAAGTTCCCCCAGGCCTCTGTGACCCCTTGAGCTTGGGTCTAGGTTTGGGGGAACAGTTCTGAGACCTTGCTGTCCAAGGGGAAAGAACCCTACCTGACCAAGACGATGGTGGGTCCAGAGGATGCCGGCAACTACCGCTGCGAGCTGGGGACCATCAACTCTGGTCCTGCCACCATTATTCATTTTCGTGTCGTAGGTCAGTCTGGGGTGTTGAAAAACGGCATTCGGGATGGGAGAATCTCTGGAGGTGTGGCCTCACCCATGGGACTCGATTTACTATGGGAATGGCCTCGTTGCTTTGGGTGTGTGGCTTTGGCTATAACCAGGGTCTCTGCTAAGGGGTGTGGACTCCCTCTGGAGGTGTGTTTTCTGGTCATGGAGGTGTGGCTTCCTGCCTGAAAGGCTGCCTTAAGTTCTCAATTGGACTTCCTGGGGTGCACCCACCCTCTAGAGGGGGCTAGAGTTGTGGGGTAGGTATGCCTTTACCAGCTGCTGCCAGGACTGCCCTTTGGCTCTCTGTCAGTACTGCCCCAAAGGACAGCAGAAGAAAAACCGGCACCAAACATCATAACCCAGGAGGAGGAGGCCCCCGGACAGGTGACTGCAGAGACCCTGGAGCCCGTAATTACAATCGCCAATCAGCCAAAACCACCGAGAGCTGCGAAACACCACCGCCTCTTAATACTGTTGATCCTTGGCTTCATCATTCTGGGGGCCAGCATCATTGTCACGTGAGCTGTCCACTGGGAAACTTGGAGGAAGGGTGGGGCTTAAATGAAGTGGACTTGTATGAAGGGGAGAGGCCTGGACCAGAGATGGGCTTTGGGAGGGGGCATGGCTTGGACAGAGGAGTGGGGGGCCTGGGTAGGAGTGGGGCTTGAAGGGAGAGGCAGGATTTGAATGGAGATGTAGTCTTGGGTAAGGAGAGGAGATTGAATAGAATCTCAATTCTATTGTGGACAAGGGCTTGGATGGATGGATGGATGGATGGATGGACGGATGAACGAGGCTTCAATGAAAGGACAGGGCCTTGTGGAGAAGATTCGGAGGGGGCTGGGCTTGGGTGGAGGGCGGGGCTTCCTACAATCCAGTGCTGGCGGAGGACCGGAAGCTACTGAGCACCTTCCTTTGGGGCTCATTTAGGAGGATAAGGCTTGTATAAACTGTTAGGTTAGGTTTGTTGGGGTCTAGGTAGAGTGTACTTCACTCAACCCATGATCTAATGTGGTTCTACGCACTCCTGGCCTGCCGTAGGGTACTTCACTTTAGGAAAGCTAGAGGTAAATCCAAGACCTCAAGTTTGGACGTGAAATCCTCAAGGGCAGAATTCAAGTCGTCAGATCAGGAAAGGTCCTCTGTCCAGCCGGAGTCATCCCCACCGGTAGAATCGAAGCCCTCTCAGGGTGACAGTGCTGCCGAGGACACAGAGGACAAGGCCGAGGAATCAGAAAGCTAATAAAGATTTGACCTGTTGTCTCAGTTTCTGACTTACTCTTGGGGACTGGTCCTGACTTCTGGCTCCAAGAGAGGAGCAGCTGGAACATGGGACCTCCCTCTGCAGGGGGCCCATGAATGGTGGGCCCAGAATCAAGGCATAGGCCAGGGTCAGCCCTGCCCCATCTCCTCCCCCAGGCCTGGTCTCCTCACAGGACGCCCCCTCCCCGCTCTTCCTGCCGGGCTTCCTCTTGCCTTTTCCTGTCCCCCACCCAGTGCTGGGAGCCCGGGCAGAGGAAAACACTTTTCAGAGGGATTGGGACTTAACGGAGGCCAACGGCACCGGGGCCTCCGGGTGCTACAGGACCCGAAGCAGGGTAAGAGCCACAGCAATGACCTATCCAGGGACCTAGGAGTTCACTGTTCTACCCCTCTACCTCCCAGGGATCCAGGAGCTAGAATTCATTCTCTCATCCGTTCCCACCCCCCTCCCGTGGCCTTAGGACTTGGGGCCTTACCCTCTTCCCTTAGGGCCATGCTATCTGGTGAACGAAAGGAGGGCGGAAGCCCCCGCTTTGGGAAACTTCATCTCCCAGTGGGCCTGTGGATCAATTCCCCAAGAAAGCAGCTGGCCAAACTGGGGCGGCGCTGGCCCAGCGCTGCCTCTGTCAAGTAAGTGATCAACCTCTGTGGCATGCCTGCCATCTGTCCTTGTTTATCACTGAGTCATGCCAGGGACCCTAAAAGACGGGCAGTGGTTCCTGTCCTAAACAGACGAGCGAGCTGGAGGGGGTTGGGGGTGGCAGCGGAGGACAGTGACATCTAGATGCAGGGAGGGAAGAGCTGGGCCAAGACATGGGGCAGGCTGGATGGGCACTGGGATGAAACACACTAGGCAGGCCCAGGGATTGGATTTACTTTCCTTCCTCCCGTCTCTGTTCACCTTGGAATTTCCTACCAAAGGCCGTATCTTTATTAATCATATTACGTATCTCTTTTACTTCCATTCTTCCCACCCCACCATCTTGGTTTTCTGCCCCCACCCACTACTCCTGTCTGTGTCCCTCTCTCTCCGGGTCTTTGTCTCTGAGTTTCTGTCTCTCCCCCTCTCTTGGCTTCTCTGTGTCTTCGGCCCCTCTCTCGGGGTCACTTGCTCTGGGTCTGTCTCTGCCTGTCTCTCTGCATCTGTCCGTCTGTCCTCTCTCGTTCTTTTGTCTGTGTCCTCTGCCCACTTGTTCCTCCTCAGGTCGTCGTCCTCCGACACGGGGAGCCGCAGCAGCGAGCCGCTGCCGCCGCCGCCGCCGCCGCACGTGGAGCTGCGGCGCGTGGGCGCGGTGAAGGCGGCGGGGGGCGCGTCGGGCAGCCGCGCCAAGCGCATCTCGCAGCTGTTCCGGGGCTCGGGGGCCGGCGGCGCCGGGGGCCCCGGCACGCCCGGGGGTGCGCAGCGCTGGGCCAGCGAGAAGAAGCTGCCTGAACTGGCGGCGGGGGTAGCCCCGGAGCCCCCGCTGCCCACGCGCGCCGCGGTGCCCCCGGGCGTGCTCAAGATCTTCGCCGCCGGGCTGGCGTCGGGCGCCAACTACAAGAGCGTGCTGGCCACGGAGCGTTCCACCGCGCGCGAGCTGGTGGCGGAGGCGCTGGAGCGCTACGGGCTGGCGGGCGGCCGCGGAGCGGGGGACGGCGGCTGCGTGGACGCCTACGCGCTGTGCGACGCGCTGGGCCGGCCCGCGGCGGGCGTGGGCGGCGGCGAGTGGCGCGCCGAGCACCTGCGCGTGCTGGCCGACGCCGAGCGCCCCCTGCTGGTGCAGGACCTGTGGCGCGCGCGGCCGGGCTGGGCGCGGCGCTTCGAGTTGCGCGGCCGCGAGGAGGCACGCCGGCTGGAGCAGGAGGCCTTCGGGGCTGCGGATCCGGACGGTTAGCGGGGGAAGGGCACAGACTCGTGGGGGCGGGACCTATACGGGAGGAGGCGTGGCCCTGGAGATATTGGGGCAGGGCAGTGAAGAGGGGCGGGGCGTGAGCTAGAGGCGGGGCTAGTAGAATGACAGGCTTGACCCTGGGCAGGGAGTGCGGGGGCGTGGCTTACAGGGAAAGGAGGCGGGGCCTGTAGAATAAAAGAGTGCTGGGGGGCGTCCTCTGGGAGGTGCTTGAGGCGGGGCCTAAAGAGAGGGAACCTGCACTAGACGTGCTGGAATGGGGTGTACAGGGAGTGAGGCGGGGCCGTTGGACAACTGCTGGTGCTGTTCTTGGGCGGGACTTAGAGGTAGGGTCTGTAAGGGCAGTAATGTAGTTAAGGGGCGTTCCCTATATAAGATATCTTTTCTCCTTCTCCCTTTGGGAAATACAGAGGTGTAGCTTATTTTATTTTAACCAAACTAGGATTCTGCCACGTAGCCCAGGATGTCCTTGAACGCTTGCTCTCCTAGCCCCAAGTGCTGTAATTACAGTACACCACCACGCCTAGCCCGGCCATTCTTTAATTTTTAATCTCAACAAAATTCTAGGTGAAGATTCTATGCAATAACGTATATAAAGGGCTTGGCATATGCTTAATAAAGATTAGGGAAATAAAAGTAACCACTCAAGCCGGGCGGTGGTGGTCCACGCCTTTAATCCCAGCACTCGGGAGGCAGAGGCAGGCGGATCTCTGTGAGTTCGAGGCCAGCCTGGTCTACAAAGTGAGATCCAGGAAAGGCACAAAACTACACAAAGAAACCCTGTCTCGAAAAACCAAAAAAAAAAAGTACCCACTCAAAAGAATGGAAATAATGCCATCCCTTCTCTGACAACAGACCAAAACAAAAAAACCTTTACTGAGCACACAGAGTGAGCCATACATGTTTTTGGTCTCTGGTGTCCAAGGACAAGCAAAGTTTCCAATTTCTCAGATCTTACAAGCTTAGTGGAAAACATGTTTATTCATTAAGCTCCTTCCATGGGGAGCGTACTATGTGCTGGGGCCTAAGAACTGTTAGGAAGGTGGGTATTTCCAGCTTCCTGAGGACAGTTTTCATTGTTGATGCCTAGACTGGTTCCTGACACACAGGAGCTGCTCCCTGAATGCTTGTTAAAAGAATGAATTTCTAAGTTGACAACTCCAAGTTGGAGTCAGGCAAAACTGAGTTCCAGAGCCAGGGAATAGCCTCTGTGTTTTCCAATTTCCCATAGGCACCAACGCCCCATCTTGGCGGACACAGAAGAATCGGTCTCGGGCAGCATCTGGTGGGGCGGCTCTGGCCAGTCCAGGTCCAGCGTCAGGATCGGGGACCCCTACTGGGTCTGGGGGCAAGGAGCGGTCTGAAAATTTGTCCCTGCGACGCAGTGTGTCTGAGCTGAGTCTGCAGGGGCGGAGGCGACGCCAGCAAGAACGCAGGCAGCAGGCACTTAGCATGGCCCCAGGGGCAGCTGACACCCAGATGGTACCCACGGACCCTGGAGACTTCGATCAGTTGACTCAGTGCCTCATTCAGGCACCCAGCAACCGTCCCTACTTCCTTCTGCTCCAGGGCTACCAGGATGCTCAGGTTAGCACTATGTCCCTACTCACAGAGCCACACCAGACACAGTAGGCTGACAAAACCACACACCAAGAATGCCTTGGGTTGAGGCCCTCTCCAGTATAACGACAGTTCCCACAAGGTTCCCAAATAGGAAAAAGATGGTAGGAGCTGAGGTGTAGGTCAGATACAAAGATCCCATTTGAGAGGTATAGTGAATGTTTCCTTTCATTCAGAGGTGAAAGAAAATATAGTCTTGGTCAGAGGCCAGTCTGTTGTCAAAAAGACACCTCTCACAAACATCTGTTCCTTGAAGGAAAGTCTGTGTCCTAGGTCAGGGAAATCTTTGGTATCTAGACCCTTGTTCTGGAAAAGGCAGCTTTCTTGATAGGAGAAATAGACTAATACATTTATAAAGGTTCACATGGGAACCATCTGACCCCTTGTTGATGGAAGCAGGAGGCACTGAAACCTGTATGCATTTTTATTTTTGCAGTATTGAGGGTTGAACCCAGGCTCTGCACCTGCTAGCAAGGTGCTCTATCTCTGAGCAAGGCCCCCAAGCCTACACTGGTGGGTTCCAGGCAGGTGGTGTACGGCTGAACTATTCTTGCAGTCTTTTAACTTAAGAGATAGGAGCTCCATCGGTTGCCCAGGCTGGTCTTGAATTTATGATCCTCCTGTTTCAGCCTCCTGAGTAGCTGGCATGACAAACCACGTCATCCAGGCCATGTTTCTATGTATCACATATTTGAGGGCCACTAGATCATGAGCAGTAGGTTTGTTTTAGGAAGGGGGTCAAATGGTGCATTCAGTTTTAAAGATGGAGGTGAGAGTCCACTTTTAAACCAGGGTCTTCTGCAGTTTCTCTCTCCGTTCAGTGGATGAAATGGGGCATGCTGTAAGAAGGGGACTCTTTGAAGCATCTCTAAGCATTTCTAAAACGGGCCACTGTCTCTCTGGAGGTCTTTGGAGATGCCTACTTTGGGAGGGGAATATCAAGAGCTTCCATTAATGGACAAGGAGAATCTTTGAACTCCAACCTGAGAAAAGAGTCATGGATGAGTCCATTGTTGACATATGTTTCCTTGAGGGTGAGTCCATCACTGGATGGAAATAAACAAAAGCCCGTTGTAGAGAGGGGTGTTTTTGAAAGTGCGCCTTCATTGGATAATGGAAATAAATGAAAGCCCGTTGTAGAGAGGGGTCTTTTTGAAAGTGGGCCTTCATTGGATGGAGATAATGGAATCCTCTTGCTAGGTTCATGGATTGTTTCTATGAAGACATCCATTGCTTGCCTGGGACGATTTTGATAAAAACTGTTATCGGAAAGGAAAATACACTCAAGAACTGACAAGTAGGGCTATGAATGGGAGTTGCCAAGTTCCTTGGAAAGGTCTGCTCAGGATGGCTATGGAAGCCCCTGGCCGTGGAGAGTTGAGAAGACAATTTATTGGAGAACGATCTGTTTGGAAACCTCTTCCAGCCAGTAGAGTTATTTCATGTGCATTTGGTGTGAGGGCGTCAGATCCCCTGGAACTGGGATTATAGACAGTTGTGAGCTGCCATATGGGTGCTGGGAGTTGAACCTGGGTCCTCTGGAAGAGTAGCCACTTCTTCAGCCCATGAAGGGTCTTTTTTAAAGGGTAGAGCCAGAGCTAGAGATAGCTCTTCAGGTAAAAGCACCCACTCCTGAGACTAAAGATCCAAGTTATATCTCCGGAACCCACACAGTGGAGGGAGAACA